ATAATATTTTTCTGTTTTTTTTTCGTTTAATACTATTCCGTTTTTAGAAATTATGATGTACGAAAATTTAATAATCTCTGTAATTTAAAAATCTTATAACGATTGATGGAAAATGTAATGTATATTTAAAAAAATATGCACTTTCATTATTCGTAAAAAAATTTTTCATTTATATAATTATGACACATTGTGTACCATCAAAAGACGATATAGAAGAACTTGATTGCTTGGTGTCCATTTCCTCTAGATAAACATCAATAAAATCTCTGAACTCGCCATGTGTTCTAGTTTGTTTATGGTTCGTTATTTCAGTCTGAAAGACGATTTTATTTTATTTATAAGGATATCTTATATTTATATCTAGAAATATATAGAAATTTATATCGCTAATGGAGGAAAGTATTGCATTACCCTAATAAATTGCCACATTCGTGTCAATCTTTGATTTAGTGCGGTAAATCCAGTTAATCCTGGAGTAATATATCTTAAAAATGGTAAGTGGGTTAATATGCCGCCGGTGACGTTAGTATTTCTTATAATCTCGTTTACCACTGATAAAATCTCTGTTAATTTTGGATTATCCAAGTCAAATCTATAACGACATGTCTTCATGTTATTTTTAATTACATAGTTTTGAATCTAATTTACAATAATTTTGCAGCATACTGTGTTCCAGCGACTAATGTCCATAAACTATTGAGAACAGCTATGGAGGTAATATTGTGCAAGTTGGTAATAGGTCCCAATTTAGCCAGCGATTCTATCGTACTTGTTAAGGAAACCGCATCGTTTAATATTATATCCTCCATCGTAACATTTCCAAATCCAAACTCTTTCAATGTTTTCAGAACAAATCTGAATAATTTGTAACAAGTTATAACTTGAAGAAAATAATATAACAATAATATTTTAAAAATTTAATCTCTTAAAAAATTTTGCTAACAATATGAAATTGTTAAACAACAGTTATTGATACAATTCATACAGAAATGTATTAGGTGTTGGAATTAATTCGTAGCGTTTTACAAGTGATGGGAAGTACTTTCATTAATGTATTTTTTAATGCTCATGTGAAATAAATAACATTCTTTCATTAAAAAACGCTACGAATTAATTCCAACACCTAATAATATTTATTGAAAAAAATTATTCAATATAATATTTTCTCATTAATTTATATATGTATTAAAGGCATATTCTGTGCATTAGATTATCACACACGATTTTTTAAAAGTTTTAAATATAATAAAATAATTGTATGCGAAAATACCTTCTTTGATCTCGCCAAATATCGCCATCAGTAAATAATACACCCCTCCGTTTACCCCCCGTGCGAAGTTTATGTACAAATCCATTAGGTCTACCGTCAAACTGAGGTCGACTCATCATTTCGATTACCGCATCCTTACCGGAAACAATGATCAGCGGTTCGGCTATGCCGAGTTTCAAACCGACGATAGGTCCGTAAATATCGGCTAACCGACACCAGGCATGAGAATAAAATTTCGTCTCGTCGACTAGACGTTTTACGTCGAGTATATTTCCCACGATCGGCAGACCGCGGGGTCCTCGAATAGAATATTTTATATATTCATAAATTGCGAGACAATATAGAATATTGAATCGTATCAAAGCAAATGTTCATAAAAAGAAGCAAAAATGTCTATTTGAAATAAAAGCGTAAAATAAAAGCATTTTGTATTTTTTTAAAAAATACATAAATATCTAAATAATTTTTTTTATTAAAAGAAGATAAAATTTTGTTTAATTTATATGATTAATTATTATTTTTATAAAAGGTGACACATATGTAAAAAATTATTAAGAATTATAAATAAAAACTATATAAAAATAACACAAATATTTTTATAATTACCATATAAATATAATTTTTAAATAAATCTAACTTTTTATTGAATATGATTGCGATGAAATATAGTTTACCTGGAGGAAATGTTGATGGGCGACGCCAGTCGTACAAAATTTTTACGAGTATCACCAAACAAACAATTATAAACCACATTATTTATTTGTTAATATTAATGGCAATATAAATGTAGAAATAATGTAAAAATACGTAAGAAATTTACTTTATTACCGAATATCCTTTTATAATTTAAAGAAATTTTTTATATCTTCTTCAAACAGATTGAAATTACCGCAAAATTAGTAAATCTTACATGTAATAATTAATTACGATATTTTATTTTGAATTTTCTATGTATAAATTACTAATCCACCATCTCTTACAAAATTGTTATTCGTAGTAAGCGATACTGTTCGAAACTGCACTGTTCCTGTGGAAATTCTATTATATGAGTGAAATACTCCTTTCACTGAGATATTAGGCAAGAGAATTTTGGCTCAAGGTTCCAATTAAGTACGAATATATCTGTATCAGTTACTGTATGCACGCGACAATCTACCTCCTGTTCTCTGGACCTTACATAAAGTTTACAAAATGCTTTGCGACAACTATGATATAATACATTGAAACGTTTCCAATAGTACGTTGTGTAACATCCTTAGAATGAATGCATCGATATTTCATTAACTAATATTTTTATCCAATTTCGACAAAATGAAAATAATTAGAATTTATTATAAGTGATACAAAATTTATATTATTGATTTGTATTTATTATACATGTAATTCAAAGAAAAAGAGAAGAAAAGAGAATATATTAATTTTCATGTGTTAATTCTTCTGATAGGAAGACGATAACAGATATGACCAAATGATTTAAGACGTTCTATAGAAACAGCTGAGGAGCTGAAACAATGGAGTTTCTTAGAGAGGAACAAGAATGTAGCGAAGAACATTGCTAATATCAATGATTATAGCAGTGCGAGATAATCACAGAAGTTATAAGTGGCAGATGTGGGAATCGTAAATTCGCAATTCTAATCAATCTCGCGCACATCAAAGTACACGCTATCCCCGTTCTCCATTTCGACATTTGTGATCCGGCTAACACCTTGCGCAATAGTTTTACGATTTTGCACTTGCACGCAATCTTACATACGTTTACCTTTTCTATTTCCCGGGTACACGCTGATAACCGTCTTCCTCTGTCCTTTTCCGTCTAGCACGTAACGTCAAATCAAAACAAAAATGATCGAGCAGGACGCTCGACGAATAACGATCGCCGCAAACCACTTAAAATTATCGAGTTAATTCGATCGCGATTATTCGGTTAAATTATTGAGTCGTTCATGTTACGTAGGTTATTGACACTTATAACTGTTGTTAATAAATTATATTCTTGTATATCATTGTGAGATGTTGACTGGCATTTACGAAGTGGAAATAATTAAATGTAAAATATAAATGTGTAAGAATTTAAACAATGTTTTGATTTCTTTTATTCATGATGATGCAAAGGAAAAATTTAAAAACTAAAAATTTTGAACTTGCATACATACACATATATATTTCAAAATTAGGAATTGAGATTATTTCTTATGTATTTCTTTATCTCATAAGTAGAATGTCTAAATATAGATTTAAAAACATTTTTCAACAATAATACAAGTAAAGAAGTTAAAAAAGATTTTAATCCACTTTACCTAGTTCTTTGTGAAGTATACTTGACTTTTGATGCTTTCTTCACAGAAGAACTTCCTCTATAAAGTGAAATGACATTGTAAAGTTGGAAACGATTGGCATCAGCGATTCTGGGGCTCATTGTTAGAGATCACAACATTCATGAGTGATGGTCCGTAAATTATTGCATCTCGGTGTCAGTAGCAATAAATCAGCGAAATCAGCGAGAGACAAAGGACATATAAAGCGAGCCTTATTTCTCTCAGTACACAATAAATGAAGCTGCATAACATATAGGTAACAAGCGATCGCGTCACCGCCAATTGATGATAGCAACATAAAGAGAGAAAAGAATAGGAGGGAAAGAATAACGTTAATTATTATTGCAAAAGCAGTTTTATTAATTTTCCTATGTGTGCTTATTCGCCAAAAATATATTTCTATTGTATTAGACGAGAGTTGCTAATCTACTCCTTATTAGAAATTTGAGAATGCTCTATATAAAAAAAATATATAAACTTTTTTGTCTGTTTAAATGAGATAATCTGTTATGCGATCATAAGAGATTCTGCAAATATTTCTACGTTTTGATTGTAATTAAATTTTGAAACAATATGAGTATAAATAAATTTCACTAATTATAAGAAGATTTTGGTATCTTTATCATAAAAGTAATACATATTTAAATAAATTATCATAAATGAAATTATGAGATACAATAAAGCATAAGCCTTTTTGAGCATTTACATTATCATAATTCAAAGATGTCGAACAACTGCAATTCATTAAACTTTTAAATGCGGCGAACGAATTGTTCTTTTTGACATAGAGAATAAAGGCGACAAAACTTTATCGTGCATAACGAACGAAGACATTCAAATTAAATGTTTCACTATTATTGCTTATTAAATTGAAATGAACATAGGCTATTGTAGAATCTCTTAATAAGTCCAAGAAAATTCATGCATTGGTTTTCCTAAACTTCAAAAACTTTTAAATCCAAATTTTAATAATAATTGCATTTAAATATAAAGAACTTTATTATAAAAAATTCGGATATTTGCGTACTTAAGGTACCATTGTGTAGGTAGTACGAGAATGACAAGCTTTATTTTATTATCTTAATACTAACGACAATTGTTAATTGATTGTACAAAGTGTGTTAGATTAATTTGAACATACGATCGTTGCTCAGTCAATGTAAGATTTTTCATGAGGTAATTATTTCGACGGTGGAAAATGATTTGAGACATGTGATATGTTTTTAATCGATTGATCAATCCATTGGAATGATGTAGAAAATACCGAAGGAAATTAAGATGCAGAACAAGGAGACGAGACGTCGCTGTTGCCGATAACAAGTCCAGAATATCGAGATGCCGGATAGGGGGAGTTTAAAAAAGAGCGGGGTTAGAGAGAAATTTGATGGCAGGTGGGAGCAGTGATTCGCATTTACCGAAGGTGCTAGCTGAGTTAGGATTTGATAAGAACAGGCTTTGATTCAACATCAGACAGGTGCCTACTGTCAGCGTGCCATCATCGGGATTCGATTACTCGTCGTGATCAACCACCAATGACAAACAGTGCCTTTTCGGGAAACATGATTTAATTGTTGAGTGATCGCTTCTTAATTAGGAGTTAAATATTCAACTAGATTTATTGACATTGCCAGGTAGATTAGTATATAAACAATAAAAAATTAGGAATTTTGTTGATAAAACTAGGAATTCTAACTTGGTGTTAAATTTAGGTCATATTTGCCGTGAAACAAAGAAGAAGATTTGAAAAGGAAGAAGTGACACTCTGGCGGCGATGTTGGTTCGCGCGTCTTACACTTTTCTTTTCATTCTTGCGGTAGGTTACTTTCTTGCGCTCTATTTATATATAATCGAGTTATTTAAAAGTAAATGTAAAATTTAATTTAGTAATGTAAATGTAAAATTTAATTTAGAGCAGAATATTGTTTTGTAATAAATTATTATCGAGAATACATACTTCACAATATAATAATTGATTTTAAAAAATTAGCAGACTAAATAAAAATTAATAATTTTAGCTCAATATTTAAAAAATTGCGTAGAATTCCTCTTATATATAAAAAGAAAAGGTGTTATTAAACTAAAGAGAAAACAGAATATTATCAGAGCAAAAAGTAAAAGTATTTTTAATTAAGAATATTATATTTTATGTTTAACGGATCGTTTTATTTATTTTGTCGAATTAATTAATTGTAGCTAGTTATACTTCTCTCATTTTAACATTATTTATATATATATTATATATATATATATATATATATATATATATATATACACATACACACACATCAATGTCAGGACTAAATTCTTTGTAAGTTTTAGTGAAACATTGCCATTCTTCGTAACATATATTTTATTCCTTCAGTATTCTCACTTTCGTGTCGACGCACTGTGTAGTCATTTCACTGGTTAATCTCGCGTGCCGAGATATCGTCGAGCTCGCATGATTTGATCGAGGATCAATTGTGAAACCGACATTTTCTAAATTAAATTTGATACATGATTACTGCCAGGCGATATCGAACGTCTTCATAAACTTTCCCGTATATCTCTGAAAAACTACTTATTGGCTCGTACAAATCTGTACAGATGTTATTTTTAATTTCAATTTATTTATTTATTATTTTTATTTATGCGATTATTAATATTAAAGGTTATTTACTTCAGTAATGTGATAATATTCTGTATAATATTACGAATATTTATCTGATTAAAACAGGTTTGCTGTTGGTTTAGACATAATGCTGCGGTTCCACTTGCTTCTTATTCATTAAATCAAGTATGTAGATATATAATACAATACATATTTTTATGTTTATGTTCATTTAAATTTATAATTTTATATATATATTTATAATTTATTGTATATATTATATAAGTATTTTTATTTAGTGTAAATTTAATATACAGGATGTCCCGTAATTATTGATGAAACGCTCTTGCGTAGAGCGGACTAAACTGAAAAGTCCTCTACCATTTTGTAATTTTCCCAATAATTAACAAGATATTAATTATTAAAAATTATCAATAATGGTAGAGTTTTAAATAATTTTTTACTTAAGTACTACAATTTTACAGAAAAATAGCAAGTGATAAAAGTTGTTTATTTTTTTCTTGGAGTTCTGAGAGAGTTTTTTCAGAATTTTTTATCGCATTTTCTTATGTTCGTAAAAATAAAAAATGCAGTACTAAAAAGTTGATAAAAAATTATTAAAAAATTCTTAGAGTTCTATGAGAAGAAAATAAACAATTTTTGTCTCTTGCTATTTTTCTGTAAAGTTGATAGTGAAAAATTGAGCAAAAAATTATTGAAGATTAATATTTAGCGATTTTTGGTAATTAATATCTTGTTAATTATTGTAAAAATTGCAAAATAATAGATAACTTTTTGACTCAGTTTAGTCAATCTACACAAGTTCTATCTACACAAGAGCGCTTTGTCAATAATTGTGGAACATCCTGTATAATAAATCTGTTATGTTTATTTTATGGAAATGTTTTTTTTTATTAATTTATATTGTTGTTATATTTTTGTTAAATTTTTTTACATAGTTTTTATACTTTTATATGTTTTTAAAACCTTACTGGATTGTTTGGAATATCTTATGCAATAAAATTTTTGCTAAACTTTTCTTTTCAGAGTAATTTTGAAGAATGTTTTCAAGAAATATATCTTTATATTTTTATAATTTATTTATGCTTTTCCATTTTTTTTAATTTTATAGATAAACACAGCAGTTTTGAGATATTGTATCGTTTATTACGTTTATCACATAATTACTGTCATAAAACGATGCTTGGGATATTTCTTCATCAATCACGTTTCATGCAATTGCATCGCTTTGATTCGGATTATTGACTTTATTTAACGTAAGTGGATTTTTTTAGATAAATTCTAATTATCTATTATTCTGGGGTGTTGATACTAATAATTTTATGCGATAATAAAAATTTGTAATCCTAAGTATAAAAATTTGTTTTTATATCTGAACTATTTTTTTTCAAATCTTTTTAATCTTTTCATTAACTTTTCTTTGTCATCTGTTTTTTTAAATCTTCAGATGCAGGATGCATTCAAAGAGAAACAAATAGATTCTGAGAGTGATTTGAATGACTCTATCTTGAATTCTCGTTCCATAAGAGAAACGGAAACGATTAGTGATAAAAAAATAACTTCGAAAGAGGAGATATTTCATCCTTTTATTGAGAAGAGATCAGAAGATATCACGAAATCTTTATCTACATCAAAAGAAGAAGAAGAAATAATTTCTGAAGTAGTAACTGAAGAGTCAACTCCGTTTGCATTCGCGAAAGATATTTTCACAAAGTCTTTGGAAGTATATGCGTCTCAATCAACAGCATCTGTTGATACTAGTTCATTGGAAACAAAGATTACTGAAAGCTCTAGTGCGAAAGAAATGGAAGAATACTCGAAACCCGAAGAAGACAGAGATAAAAGTTCTACTATACTGACAAGCGAAGAATTAGGAAAAGTAGACTATATTTCATCTTCAACCGAGAGCATAGTGGCTTCAAGTGAAGTTGATATTGAGTCAGATATTAGCGCGAAATCACCAGAATTGATCGAATTCACTAAAGAACCTATGAAACCTGATCGGATTTTCGATAAGTTATCTGAGAAGCCAATTTCGACAAAAAATGTATCAAAAACTGTAACTATGGAGTCATCAAAAATAACTGAGCACTCGACTGTCACAAATGTAGCAACGACTACGTTGATCCCTCCAGAAGATGACAGTAAGTCGATTAAACATATTGCGATGAACACCCGAAGAAATACGATTACAAGTACGCCGCAGCATAAGTTGAAGATCAAGATCCTTCTGGAGCACATTAATGAGAACAAGGAGAAACACAACTTGGTCGAGGTGGAACACTTATCGCTGGACGAGAATCCAGAACATCATCTTAATTCTGATTTACTCGAGCAATTGAAATCCTTGTATGATTCCGTCAATATGAAGATCATAAGCGCATTGTTGAATTGTATTAGCTTGGACAATTTGACAAAAAATTTAAATTTTGTCAACGAAGAACCAGATAATGTTGACAGTGATACAGAATTGGAATTTACGAATACTGATTTTGAGAATTTTAACTCAGAACAGTTTATTTCAGATTCCGACGATGCTAAAATTGATTACTCTGAATATGAAGAACACGTAACATCTCGCAGACGAAGACGAAGAAGTCTTGATAATGAAATGGAAGATCTAAATAAATTTCGACAAAATCTTTATGATTCCACTGATTCTACGGTTGATGCTTTTAATATTTCACAAACTCAGAATACTGAGTTAACAAACACAACTTACAACTTACAACTTTTCACAACGACAAATTACTCCGAAGAGGAAACAACTACTAACGATTATACAGAAAGTGAAAGAAACGTGACTAAAGAAGAAAATCAAAGTACAATGCCTTCGATAATAATAATAAATCTTAGCAATGTTGATCTATCAAACGCTTCGGAATCTCGTGATATTAATATGACAAAAGATGTACAGTTAAACATGACAACATATAAACCTGAAGAAGAAACAAATAACACTATGTATATAGAAACAAATACAACTAATGACACAAATATGATTAATGAAGGAAATGAAAGCACAGTACCTTCGACAAAAAACAACATGATTAACGAAACAAAAATGGAAGTTGTGCGAGAGACATTATCAGGAATACAGGAAGATGTTGTGGTCGGATTACAGCATATGGTATCGCAATTAACGCAAAATAATTTGACTTCAATCAATAACGTTAAAGAAGCCATCAAAACAAATTTGTTGGGTATCTTAATGAAGCCCAGGGGGTCAATTAAGAAGAAAAAGAGCCACGGAAGAAATTGGATACTGATCAAATGAAAGGATCAAAGAGGCGCCAATGGGTGGCAATCTTAAAAGTTTCACTGAATTCACATTGTACAAAATTCTTTTTTGAGATGTACAAGATGAAATTTTATTTTGTTATTTTGTAATGTCAAAAGATTTCAATGAAGCTGAAATAAGGAATTACGTTGTATGTATAAGCCTTATTGTACATTATAATTTAATCAAATGTGTAAATGTATGTTACAAAAAACTTTACAATACATATTAAATTGTCTTTTAAAATATTGTAGATGACAGATTATTAGTGCTTTTTATTTATATAAATGTATACAAATTTCCAGACAAATATAATACATTTAAAAAAGGAATAAAATTATAAAAGGAATATAATTATTTCGTGAAATAAAAATTAATCCGTATATTAGTTAGTATATGATAATTTTTACATATTATTTTTGCAACGCTGAATTAATATGTTTGATAAATTAATATGTTTGGTTTTCATGGGTAGGAAAAAGCTGGTATTTATGACGTTTAATCTTTTTTAAAATAGTAAACGCGTGATTATAGTGTGAATGATTATAGCGCATTCATAACGTTCGAAAATAATTAATCGTGAATAGAGGTTTGCGTTGGCAATCGTAATTGTGTTGACTGAATCGCGTCTGTAATGGATCGAGAAATTGTTACGTACTTTTATTATTTCCATTAAGTTGAAAATAATGTGTTGGATAATAAAATGGTTGTTAAATGCGCGGTATTAGCAGATCGCTTTATTATTTTTCTATTATTCTATAATACATGTCGAAAATTCATTTATTTTGATTTATAATGATAGATAATTACATTTGCGCCTTTTTCTTTCTTAATCTCTCCTTTTATTAAATGTTATTAGTTGATACAGTAATTTTTACATATTTGACACATTTTCGTTTATCATACTGAATTATTTATTTATCAACGGACATGTATTTATTATAATCAGAAAGAATATTACTTTTAGCAAATATATATTTTTATTTTGATAAATAATTTAATAATTCTTTATCAAAATAAAAAAAAATATTTATACATTAATAATATTTTTACACAAATAATATTTTTACATTAAGATACACGATGATTTTGTAGAAGTACATTAGCATCTTAGAGACTGCAAACATATGCAGTATGATTGTAAGTTCTATTATTCTTATGTCCCTGGACATGTGAACGTCAGTGGCGATACACATTTTTCTGATGTTGGATTAAATACCAGAGTATTCGGGCACGAAAGATTATCCATTATGGTATAACTGGTGCCGTTCCAGTAGCACAAATAATAACTCTTACAGTTCACGTCCTGTATCGGGAATCTGCCGTATCTAACACAGAGTGGTGCTGAGGTGGTTGTCGATGGTGTCGTTGTTTGTTGGCACGTAGTTGTACTTTCAGACGCGCATCTACCCTGAACAGGATCGAATATGAAAGTATTGGCGCATGACAATATTATTGGATTGAGATTCACGCCGTCATTCACACAAATATAGTAATTTTCGCAAGTTCCATCGTTGATCTCGAAAGAACCTATCTCCGTGCAAGTAGGTGTGGTTTGATTTTCAGCGATTTTGAAAGTAGTGTAAAGGCACAAAAGAACGATGATCGAGAAACGATTCATTGTTGCGTGCGAGCAAAGATTTGGCCGACGTGTGAATGTTGCATATTTATTTATAGCAAAGAAATTTATGATTTGTGTCAATCATACGTTCATTTATCAGGGATTTAGAATGTAAAGCAAGATAAAATGAAAATAATTCTCTTTGACTTTGCCATGAATTTGCACATTTCCTGCCTCGGGATTTCTAATCCCTGATCTTAATTTTATCGATGATAATATTGTTGCGCAAATTTAATTTTTCAATTCCTATTTTCGAATATTTGTCAATTTTTGGATTCAAGGAGTTAATTTATTGACGCTATTAGATATATTACGTAATTATCGAAAGTTAACGCGATGCAAATTTAATTAAAATAATATATGCGTATTTCTTTCGACGACGTTTGAAGTCAAGACGGCATCTGTGCATCCCCGACGATTCCTTTCAGGTGAAATGTCGGACGCGATTCAGAATGCGTGTTTTTTTAACGCGACAATCTTACGACGAGGAAATCGAGGGTGAAGTCTACGGAATACAAAATCGCCAGAAAGCGACGAGAAAGTTGCAACTGGATTTAATGTCCGCACGTAATATTCTGCTTGTTCGTGCTGGCATTATGCATCAATTATGCATGCACATCTTGTATCTATATATTGAAATAGATTTTGCATGTTTTACTGATATTGAAGACAAGATTTATTTTCTATCTCGCCATATTAGATTAAAAATTTATTTCTTATTATGATAAAATTATGATAAAATGTTTATTTAAGCTTTTTATACATTAGATTTTATACGTAGATTTTAATAAATTTTGATGTACAATATTGTTATAATAATAATAATAATTTAATAATTTGTAAGTTAGATATATGACATTACATTAAATAGAATAAAAAATATTATGTGAAACGAAGACATCAGCTACATCACACAAAATTAGAATTGCATTAAAGATATTCCACAAATTTTCTTTTGAAATTCCAGCCTGCGATCCTTGAGTTCAGGTAACTTTTCCCGATATCCATTATACGTAGCAGGATCAGAAGTAAGAAATTTTTTCGAACAAGATTTTCTTGAATAGAACGAAACCCCTCCGTCTAATCCACGCATTCAACTGCAGGCTCAAAGAGAGAGATCGGCTGAATATACACGGAGGAATCCTTGTTTTAGAGCGAGGGAAAGGTGCTATAGAAAGGAGAGAGAGGTGTCAGGAAAGAAGGAGAAGCGTAAATGTATATAAGTGACCTGGGTTGAAGACGCTCCAATGGACTCTCTCTTTGACCCTGGTCAAGTGCGCATCTTTTCTCCCATCTCTTTCTTTTTTCCCATCCCCCTTCCCATGCATGGTCGTGTTGTGTCGATCCTGCGTCCTTCCATTTTAACCTTCACCTTCACGCGGCGAGGAAGAGAACAGTGTTCTCGCGCCCGTTTATTCGTATTACGCGCTGTGACGATGACACAAGGCTGACAGCTAGCAGGAATTTAATTTGCTCTAGAAAAAAATTTAAGACGAGTGTGATATTGGTTTCGCGTGCATGTGACATGTTCCTGGCGGAGAGATCTTGATTGCAGGAGAGATGGATGCTCGAAGAGTGAGTAACATTGATAAGAAAAGATCGAAATAAAGTCATCGAGTACCTAATTGTGGAACTATTATTGCCGTAGAAGAAATTTTAGATCTTTTGAAATTGGAGATTGTGGAATTTGATTGATTGATGTTGCATGGTATCAAATGGTATCATAATCAGTTATCAAATTATTATCAAATTATTATTATCAATTATTTGTTTAAAATAATAAATAATAAATAAAAAAATTTAATTGAATTAAAAATCAACCGAAAATAATAATAGATGACAAAACAAGCTAGATTTTAATGCTAAAACATTATATGTTTGATAAATAAAACGTTATATGTTTGATATATAAAAAGTATTTAACAAAAAGATAGCAATTTTTCTTTATAAATATACAGATATTAATTATAAAGTAATTATATAAAAATAGTCATAGAAACTTTTCGATGATGTATATTTTTGTATACATACCCAAATAGCACAGGAAATTAAAAAAAAATTCAGTATGTTATCATTCTGAGATCATTTTCAGATGCAACAAGAATTATTTTCAAAACTTTTCAGAAAAAGAATTTTTTTTGCATCTGAAAATGAATTCAGAATTGATGACATATCACTGAACTATCTTTTTGAATCCCTATCTTTTTGAACTGTTTGTGCTATATATCTGGATATCTTTACAACACAATTTTATTGTACTAATTTTATTATACTAATAAGGTATCAACTCAGAAAACAATTCTTATCAAAAAACAATTCTTCATTATCTTCATCGCGTGTAATAGTTTCTGGCTGGAAAAAAAATGTAAATCGCTGCTGTTGCGTTTAATCGTTCCAGTGAATTTAATGGATCATTTTAATGCGCTATAATTCTTTTTACTCGTGATATCGATAACGAAAAACGAATTGTATGGGTGATTATGATGTACTGAGAAATGTGTGAGAGCCTTGACTACATAGAAAATACCGCTTTCGAGTCTAATCTATATTACATAGATAATAATAAATGCGTGAGAGCTATTCGCATTAATATCAAACATTGTTTTGCTAATTAAGAGACTTTATAATTTGTATCTTTGTAACAAAATATGAGAAATAACAGATTACAAATTTTTTCAAAAAAAAAAGGATTACATATTCTTTCAAATTTAATTGCATTTCTCTTATACAAATATTTTATCGTTAGAAAGTTGTGCTGTGAGCATGTATATATATTAATATTCTTATCATTTTATCAGTCTATTTTTGGCAATTATGTATTTTGTACATTTATATCCTCAAAGTTAATTTATTGAAAATAGAAGGAAACCTTTCCCTAATTATCATTAGTCAAAATTAATAAATTTTATCTCCAAAATCATAATTTCTTTGAAAAATTGTTGTAGTTTATATAAATCGTCTCACAGTCACGTTCTTTAATTAGCTAGGAGAGCAGGTTGGAGCTGTATGTTAATAATGCACTACTCGCGTTGTATCTCAAGAATCATGGTTGATTTATGCACATCGTGAATCGACGATAGTCAGGACGACGAATAAATGACGAGGACGTAAGCCACTTTCGAGGAGGACGATCAGGCCGTTCGGAACATCGCCAGTCAAAGAGGGAAACTCTTTCGACCGACCTAAATTTATCGCTTTCCGTTTGTACGTGTTTTACGTAGTCCCGATTTCCAAAAAGAATCATACAGAAGCACAGATTTCTTAATTAAGGCTCTTTTGTTACAATTACTAAGATTATTATATCAAGTATCTTGGAATTATAAAAGGAAGATGTTCTGCATCAGCTATGTCATTTAACTAGTGAAATTTAGTGTCGGCTTCTATTAATTTAGAAATGCTAATAATTTTTGAGTTGTTACTTTTATTATTGAACTGCAAAGCACAAAAATGGATAGTGAAATAATTAATTTAAATAAAATAGCTATTACTTTAATTTGTTTAAAAAAAAGACATATGAGGAATAAATTAAAATTGAATAAAGTTGCTGTCAAAAGTAATAGGTTTTTCCCGTCTAACGATTTTATTAAAGAAAAAGCTATCTTTATATTCATTTTCTCATTAGAATATTTTCTATAATCATTGTGTGATTTAAAATCTGAATATATCAATATTCTATAGTATTGACGTAATGATATTCTTCCAACATTTCAATTTCAGATAAAATCTGTTCAAATTTTATCTGTCCAAATATGCATAGCTGATAACGGATAAAGTATGAGAAATTCTTAGAAAAAACAAAAAGAAAAGTTACTTTCCATTTACACGCTTTATCAGTTCAGCTTTAGAAAAGTGTCAATACTTCTTAACGAGCGTGCGATATCCATTATCCATACAAATATGAAGCTTTTCTACTCAAAGTGCGTGTCTGATATTTTGTGTTTGATGTTCTGATATTTTAGTATTTTGTTTGGACGAATATGCAAGATGCTTCCATAGTTGTCATATTCGAATAAAAAATAAAAATATCGAATACCAACGTAATTTATATATTAGGTGTTGGAATTAATTCGTAGCGTTTTTTAATGAAAGAATGTTATTTATTTCACATGAGCATTAAAAAATACATTAATGAAAGTACTTTTAAAACTTATAAATACTTTGTAAAACGCTACGAATTAATTCCAATACCTAATATGTTGCAACATTTATAGATAATTAGAACAGTGAAAGTTAGAAGTGCAAGTAAAGTTATTATAAAAGCATTAATTAATAGATTTGTTTATATTAACAAAACAAAAATAGAACTCTTTTCATTTGTTAAAAGTTCATTGATAAGTTGTCAATAATATATATGGCATAGCTGATATGATTATGTTTCCTTTTTTTGCGAGATATTTCTAAATATATAACAATTGCATTTTGTAGAGGACTTTTGCATATGTTTCCTTCCGCTTAATATATATTACCTAATTATTACTAATATTATATATTAGTGAATGACTTTATATTTAGATTTTAAAATTTTTTAATCACGGAAAAAAGAATTGACAGCACTTCCTCTGTTATTTTCTAAATGAGATGATAATTTGCGGTATAAGTTCCTTTTGCGTTTCAAATCATGGGTATCAAATTAAGCGCAATAAAACGTCAAGCATTATAATTTCTTACTTTAAGAAGTCCATATGAGGAGGCACGACAAATGCTTTATGTCGTATTTTTCCTTACGTCGAACTGGAGCAGCTCGCGATGTAAATACGACAGTTACAACTCTCTCTGTCTTGACGCTCCTGTAATTGTCTCCTGCACCGCTGAAGCACCGTTAGGGCTCGTCTTTTCTTGAGAAGATCGTCATCTCCCGATTTTCACTCTACTATTCCCACGGGAATTTAGATCTGCCTTAGAAAGTGATAGGATAATACCATGCTCTTTTCATAATTTTGCGCAGCCTATACGTACCTTTTTTTGTTCTTTTATAATTATTAAATATATAATTTTGTTAA